AAAAATAGAGGATGACCATAATGGATCACAAATGGAAGATGATTACATCATTACATGAGTGCCAACTTACATCATTACATAACTACAAGGCCACTAATAATCATGGCCCCAATAATATAACACATTACCATAACCAGTACAGTCTATGTTAACTTCTGACTCAAACCTCAGTGTTCGCTACTGCCAGACATACATTGTTGATATACAAACTAGCTGGATCACTGAATCTATACACTATTGGTGCAAATTAAAAATGTTGAATAATTAAAGAGTTGATAAATGAAGAGTACATATATTAATTTAAAAAGTAACAGCTATTATCTAATTAGCACTGACTGTGTCCCAGAGCTATGGTATGAGCTACCTGTGAATTATTTTGGAGTCACAAGCAGTCGGTTACAAACTGGTCTACTAACAGCAAGCTCGGTAGTTTGATGCCCCCAGTCATTACACAGGAGAAAGACGAGGCTTTACTAATCCTGTAAAGGGTTATAATCCACAGGGCTTTTCTACCCTGTCCTGTCGGCTCATTGATCAGAATCAACTTGAGGGCAGCAAGTTTGTTTTCGGTTAGGTGGTATGATCCGTTCATATATTTGGCTGCTAACCCAAAGGTAGGTGGTTCAAATCTACCCAGAGGCACTGTGGAAGAATGGCTTGGTTATCTACATCCAAAATTAGCCATTGAAAGCATTATGGAACATAGTTCTACTTAGACAGTATGGGGCTACCACGTACCATTCTTGACTTCCACAGCAAATGGTATTATTTTATTTACTTCTCATGACTCTAAGGCAGTTCCTTCGATTACCCTCATATCACAGAGGGAGAAACTGAGGCAAGGGTACTTACATCATAACTTATTCACTACCACCAGTCTAGCAGCAGCCAAATCTAGATGCAAATGCACCCTGAAGCCCTGTTTCCAAATTGCAGACCACAACCCACGGGAGGTTTGGAGTACCAGCTGCAGCATTAAGAAAAGATACAAAAAACATGTTTAATGGGTAGACCTGAAAAACAAACACACAAACAATACAGAGGCTATCTTGGGGCCTCACAGGTAAGGAAGCCATATGGAAATCTTACAAATACTTACATATTTTTGAGGTAACATGCATTTCTCTCTCTGAGTTGTGGTTGAAACAATACGAAACATACTTGTTTAGGGCCCGTTTAACCTTTATACAACCTTTTCAAACTTTAAAGCATATAAAACCCAAATAGAATAAACTTAACTTTCCTGAACTTAAAAAGTAACAGCAATATGATTTTAAAAGGTTCAACATTATAGCTTGATTTTTAAAAGCTATTTATGGGGAACCTCTTATAGAATACAAGGTATATACATTGGCCCATAGCTATATATTCTATTCTGTGTTTTAAAAAAAATTCATGTTAAGTAGAGAAAAACATCATAAGATGAATCCCCCTCCTATCAGACACAGAACTCACACCAAAATTCACTGGATAGAACTCACAACAAAAATTAATGTACACACAAAATCTTATTTATTCATTTATTTAGTTTGAAGCACAAAGGAGCTCATTCAGCACAAGAACAATAAGCAAATCAGTACAAATACTGAGAAACAATTTCCCCATGAATACACACATAGCTATCCCGAGGAGCAGCAGCAGTCAGGAGTTAACAACAAGTTAAGGTGATTTTCTCGAAGCCGTGCTTTCTGACAGGCTTTTGAGTAGGGAATGGACAGGTAGGTAATGCCACATAACGGAAGTGCTAAGAATAGCATCTGCTACCCAAGTAACTTGCACCCCAAGATATTCAACTATTAAGTGATCTTGAAATTGACATTCAATTTCCTTGTTGTCCTAAATTGACCCCTTCCTTACACATCTACTTCTCCCATTCATGCCCTGCCTCCCCTGCTTCCTCTTCCCACAAGCTGGAAGATGAACAGAACTGTGCTCCGTGGAGTTTTTCCATGGGCTGACTCTGGGGAAATCGATCACCTTTCTTTTGAAGTGCCTCTGGGTGGATTCTTTATCTCCAACCTTTCAGTCATCCATCTCAAAAAGAGACACTCTCCAAGAGGGTACAGGTGTATCTGATTCTGGATCCTTTCCCTGTATGGAACCAGGTGGAACTGAAGCAATCTGCCTGCCGGCTTGCCTTTCGAGCTTGCCATCTGCCTGGTTCTGAGGTGGAAAAATTCCAAATGGGAAGAGTGTGGTAGAGAGTAAAGATTCAAAATTCATTGCTGGATTTCACACCCATTATAGTTCCTCTCTCCGATCTCTGTTGCAGTTGCGAACAGAGATATTCAAGGACACTTCAAACTCAGTTAAGCAACGCGGAGTGCTTGCCTACCACCCCCTTCCTTTCACACGGAGGGTGCTGACTGAAGTAAAATAAAAAGATCTCGTGAGGTTCAATACTCACAAGCATTAATTTAGAAAGATCTCCTCTTGTTCTAAGATACCCTCTGAGCTTCGGGGGTCTTGGGCAATTAAATTACAGGAGAAACTGGGGCATAAATAAGGAAGCGGAATCTTTTCTACCTTAATTTGTGATCACCTGGACATTCTTTCATCTTTGATTCCCCTTGTCTGTCTCTTTGGAAAGGAAAATTCACTTTAGTAGTTTGGTTTTGTGTTCTGGTTGCAATATATATAAATTTATGACAGTCACAATTATTGACCACGTGTGTACCTTTCCAAGTGCATACCATTAAAAATACCATGATAAGTTTGCTTGTTTCTTTCCTGCAGGGAGCAAAGTGTTGAAGCATAAAATAACAACTGAGATTGGCTTGAGCTATGGCCTCCCGACAATTCAGAAAATCAACCTACATCAGGCAAAGGCAACGTTTCAAAGTGTGGAACAGCTGGTTTCAAATATGGCTAATGCCCGTAGTGCTGGAAAAAGTCTGTGCAACCATCAGAAATACTGCACCGGGAGAAATAAAGCACATAAGTTATAGGGATGCAGGGAGATCCAAGTGCATGTAAAGATCCCAACACGGACTATTCTCCTTAGAAAGGATATGCAGGTGTTAAAATACTATGAAGGTGAAATCGACTGTTTGACAGGTTGCGTTTCGATGGGCATTCTTTCTGCTTCTGAAACCACACACGACAACTTCCTACATGTGGTTATTAAGTCTAAATGGGCACAGATGCTCACCATGAAAGCACCTACACTTGAAGGAGGTAAGTGTGTAAGATTTTGCAACAGCTGCCACCTACTAATGGCTCTTGCTCATCTCATCAAAACCCCTGGCCCTACTCCCTTGGGGTAGACTCGATGTCAGCAAGCTTCTGTGGCAGGGATTGGAAGAGAGCATCAACAGGTGCAAAGGCTATAGGGAAGCGGGGGAGATCAGCACACGTGGGGGCGTGCAGCACATCTTTGACAGGAAGCAGGAATTACACTACTGAAAACGAGATCGGAAATGGAGTACTGGGTTCCTTACTATCTCACAACACTAGCTGTTCTTTTTTTTAAAAGTACAACTGAAACTATGCCCCATCTTTAGGCCTAGTGTACCAAATCAAGTCTATAAGTCTCTATTAGTCAGTCGGAAAACAACAACAACAGACAAAACAAGAAAAACACCTCTGTAACTAGTGCTGACTTAGCATCAATATGTTGCAAAATAAAATTTATAGTACAGGGTTAGGGATTGTCTTAGCTCTGTAAATATAATTAGCCACATGGCCTAAAGTTCTTTACCATAAATTAAGAAGTCTCACCTAAGATAGGAACATGTGCAATGATATATTAGGAAAAACTATTCCGATTGGGGTTGGAAGTCAATAAGGAATGTGTCAGATTTAAATTACATATTGACGTAAATATGTTCTTAGGATTTATGATAAAGTCATGAATTGGTTTTAATTCTAGGTTATGGGAAAACGCACTGCACTAGTTGGGAAGTATTAACACGTACTTTGCTTTGTTCGGCGTTCCTAGGTGTTGAAAAGAAATTTAGTGTGATTCATGAAGTGTGACGAATAGAAACATGAAGTGGGGCGTGTGCTTGTTGTTTTTGTTATTCTACATTTCTAATGGCCCCAAAAGTGTAAGGAATGAAACAGACAACTAGATGAATTAGGGAACTAGAGAACTTTTAATAGGAAGGGCTTACTGATTTTTTAATGACACTTCTTTAAAAGGATATGTCTTTCATTTTAAAATTCCAACTGAATGATAAGGGGAAATTTCCAATAACTATTGTATAATGCTTGGGTAGAATAGGCCACTTTAATGGAATTCTTCTTCAGTTTATGGAACATGAGATTGGTTTTGTCTTTGAACAAACCAGAAGCAATAACACCACACAGGTATAAATCAAGGTGATTTTAAAGTACACAAAAGTACAACTATTTATGCCACATAATTATATGAGTAACATTCCTAAGGGACTTTAAATCTTTAATACCCACTTCTGTCAAACACTCTCAAGCACAGAACTACATTAACAAAGCATGTGGCATTCAATTTCTGACATTTCATCCCCACAGAAGGCAAAGCACAGCAATAACACATCTCAGAAATGCAAATTCCTTTAAGTGCAAATTTCTAGAACACAAGGTCAATCGAGAAACACATTTTAAAATTCAAGAAGTTCTCTTTTTAAATTAGTATGCTCAATAAGCAGTGTTCAAACACAATCATAAGTAATTTTGCAAAACGTGTTCTTAGTCTCTCTCTCTCTCTCTCTCTCTCATACACAGATAGCCCAACTTGTCCTTTTCAGGTTTCCAAGTTTCACATTAATTCAAAATATTTAACCTTATAGGAATATCTCTTATCTCCATTTCAAAATATGAAATAGATTTTACTTATAATAACACCACCAGCAAAAACATTTCCTTTATGCTTGAGCTTAAACTAACTCTGAACAGCTCAAGACAGAGGGATTTTCATGAAATTATGAAATCTTCCCAACCCAGCAGTAGCGAATTAGTGCAACTTCCTTCTTAGGAATTGGCAGGCGCATACCTATTCACAGAAATAGAGAGTCATCCCAAGAACAAGGTATCTGTTTTTGACTTTCTAACTCCGCCTGGATAGATGGGAGATGCAAAACCATGTCATCCCGGGAGCACATTTGTAGAAGCCCTAGCGCCTTACACAGAGCTTGAGAAGGGGACCACCTGCTTGCCGCCCACATAAACCTCCTCAATATTCCGATCATCTCCTGCAAGAAAAAGCAAGGAATCTTACAAAACGTGCTTATGGGTCAAAAATGATCTAGATTGCCACTAGCAAACCTAAATGATTTCAAATGAAAGAAAAACACGGAAAATACAAAAAGCTCTATCCCCCCACCCCATTAGATTATTGACATCTGGACAGAGGTGTAAGACCTTAAGAAAATGCTGCATCCAACTTGAGGGTGAGGTTTTGAATTCTGCAGTAGGGTGGAAGCAGCCGACCCTCCAGTGTTCTCCAGCTGGTTTGTATTTCTGTCCTGAGCTGTGAAAGGAGTACTTAATCCAGAGACTGGGTGACTCCTGGGTGGTGCAAACAGTTCATCAAAGGCTGGTGGCTGTGTCCACCAAGAGGTGCCCAGGAATAAAGGTCTGGGGATGCACTTCCAAAAGATCTGTCATAGAGTTAAGTATACTGCAAGCACCGTTGTACTCTGAAAGCTCACAGGGTCACTAGGAATGGGAATCTACTTGATAGCAACTGGTTGTCGTTTAGCTTGAAACTCTAGAACTATACCCAGCAAGAGATGAATGGGCTGCAGGACCTGACCTCCACAATTCACAGGTACTGCCCATCGCAAGTTGACTTAGGGGCCTGAGTCACTGCATAGAATGGGAAGCAGAGCACAGCCTTCGGCACTGGTTATTGCTCCTCCTCTCCCTCACTGAGCAGAATGGAAAGCACAGTGGTTAAAAGGCTGTGTGACAAGACTCTACTGCACACCAATAGTACAGCCTAGGGTGGAAGGTGGGGACTAGAATGTACACGAGAGGATGGAACACTCAATGGCTGTCCATTTTTCAGTGTAGGATTTAAGGCTGCTCCATGTCCTAGAGGGACATGTACATTTCAAACAGTGCCTTTTAAATAGCACGCCTCAAATGGGCTTAATCATGAAGAACCTTTAAAAACCACGAATAAGAGCAAGTGATCATGCCTAGGGCTTACCATAAGATACTCTAATACAGAGGGGCATACAGAGAGAGAGAGAGAGAGAGAGAGAGAGAGAGCGAGAGAGCGAGAGAGAGGTTTTATTTAGCATAGAGACATGTATCTACTTACCTAGATACAGGAACTTCTGGATTACAGCCTAAAATGGAAAACAAAGATAATAAGAAAGAACACATGGTGAGTTGAGAAAAGCAAATCCAGGCAGGTGGCAAGGGCAGGAAATATACATTTAGTTTCCATCACAGAATCTACCCCTATTTCAGGACCTTCATTTGCTGATGGGGCATAACCCAAACTGAAAAGAAATTGCTGCCAGCATCCATTGAAAACCGGAATGTGGAACGTACCAGGTATGAATCTAGGCAAATAAGAAGTCAACAGAAATGAAGTGGAATGCATAAAAATGGATACCAGAGGCATCAGGGAACTGAAATAGCCCTGGTATTGGTCATTTTGAGTCAGTAATCATGTGGTTTACTATGCCTGGAGTTGCATATTCAAGAGCAATGGTACACATTCATTGTTGAAAAGGATATTCCATGACTTATCTTGTGGTAGAGCGCTGTCTCTGATAGGGTAATACCTATATGTCTATAGTTAATGTAAATATAACTCAAATCTGCACACCAACCGCCAAAGCCAGTGATGGAGAAATTGAAGACTTCAGTCAGCTTTTGCAGTATAATTGATCAAACATGCAATCAAGATGCATCGATCATTATTGATAACTGGAATGTGAAAAATGAAACAAAAGAGAAAGAAAATAGGCCTTGGTGATATAAAGAGATGCATCATAAAATTTTCCAACAACGACTTCTTCATTACAAATATCTTTTTCCAACAACATACATGGCAAATATACACATGGACCTGTCCAGATGAACTACACAAGAATCAAACTGACTACATCTATGGGAAGAGGTGATGGAGCAGGTAAATATCATCATCAGCATCATCATCAGCCAAAGCAATGCCAGCGGCCAACTGTGGAAAAGATCATCAATTGTGTATACATAAGTGTAGGTTCAAGTTGCAGAATATGAAAACAAGTTCATTAGAATAAAAATACGACCTTGAATATATCTCACCTGAATTGAAAGACTATCTCAAGAACAGCTTCAACACATTGAACACTCATGACAGAAGGCTTGAAGAGCTATGGTATGACATTAATAACATCTTCCGTTAAAAAAGCAAATGGTCATTTAAAAAGAAAAAACAAGGTGGATGTCAGAAGAGACTCTGAAACATGCTCTTGAATGGAGAGCAGCTAAAAAAATGGAAGAAATGATTAATTAAAGAGCTGAACAGAAATTTTCAAAGGGCAGGTAGGAAAAACAAAGTAAAGCATTATAATGAAATGTGCAAAGACCTGGTATTAGAAAACTAAAACCGAAGAATATCCACAGCATATATGCAACTGAAACAGTTAAAGAAAAATTCAAGGTTCATGTTTCAAGATTGAAGGATTCTACGGGCAAAACATTGGATGGAGATGGACATGGGGAAGAAGGGGAAAGAGGAGGAGGAGGAGAAATACAAAGAGTTATTGAACCAAAAAGACAAAGACTTATTGAACCAAAAAGAACTGTTTGACATTCAGTAATTCCAAGAGATAACATATGCTCAAGAACCGATGGTATTGGAGAAAAAAGAAAAAAAACAAAACAAGTTACACTGAAGGCATTAGTGAAAAACAATGCTCCAGGAATGGACAAAATATCAATTAAAATGTTTTAACAGCTTGATGAAGCACTTGCTAGTCTATGCCAGGAAATTTGGAAGAGGGCAACAGATTGAAGACGGAAATAGACTGGAAATGTCCATTAAACAACAACAACAACATGATCCAATAGAATGCGGAAATTATTAAACAATATCACTCACAAGCAGGTAAAAATTTGCTGAAGATGACTGCAGTAACACATGGACAGAGAGCTACCAGAAATTCAAGCAGCATTCAGAAAGGGCATAGAATGACGATTATCATTGCTATCAGCTGGATATTGGTTGAAAGCAGAGAACATCAGAAAAATGTTCACTTGTGTTTTACTTACTATGCAAAAGGCACTCAACTGTGTAGATAATAACAAACTGTGGATAAATTTGAGAAAAATGGGAGGCAGTCATTCTAACAGAACAAGCGGGCACTGCATGCTTTAAAATCAAGAAAGGGTTGTATCCTTTCACCATACTTAATCTGTATGCTGAGCAAATACTCCAGGAAGCTAGAATGCGTGAAGAAGAATGTGGGCTCAGCATTGGAGAAAGGCTCATTAACAACCTGCGGTAGACAGATGACATGAACTTACTTGCTGAATGTCAAGAGGGCTGGAAGAACCTGTTGATGAAGATCAGCCTCAGTATGGATCACAGCGCAATGTAAGGAAACCCAGATTCTTCACAATGGGACCAATAGACGACAATCGTGTAAATGGAGAAAACTTAGCAGGCGTGAAGGATTTGATTTTGTTTTGGAACTACGTTCATGGAAGCAGAAGAAAAACGAAGGATGGGTGGTATTGGGTACATATGCCACGCAAGATATGCACAGTGCAAAAGAGCAAAGCTGTCACTGTGGGGATTAAACGGACCTGCCCCCGGGACGTGCTGTTTTCAGTTGCATCACATGCATGTGAAGGTTGGACAAGGAGTAAAGAAGACCAGAGAAGAAGTGGTGAATTGAATTAGGGGGTTCGCAATGGATGCTGGAAGGACAGTGATTGTCAGAAAGACAAACATATTTGCTTCGGAAGACATTCAGCCAGAGCGCTCTTTCAAAGGACAGCGAGACTCTGCCTTGCGCACATTGGACGTTACCAGGAGACACCAGTCCCTGGAAAAGGACAGCATGCTCAGTAAAGGGCCAGTGGGGAAAAAGGAAGCTCTTCAATTAGTTGGATTCACACGGTGGCGGCAACAATGGGCTCAAACATTACAGCTGTGAGGACACGGGACCAGGCAGGGTTTGTAGGGTCTGCTGTAGGGTCACTACGGGTTGGAGCTGATTTGCCAGCACCTGACAGTCACAGCACAGCTAGCTTATAAAAACCTGGTAAGAACCCAAAAGCAGAGTCGTTCTGATAGAGAGAAGAGCTGCCCAAGTGTCACCCCGAGGAGGACCTGTGGCAGGAGGACCTTGACCTTCAGCTGTGCTGGTTGAAGAAGGAAGAGATCTGTTCTCTTCTTCGATTCTTCCAGGCCCTGCTAGTATACCCTGAAGCCCGAGCTTCCTGGTGTGTACCCTGAGTTGCATCCCAAATTGCATCCTGTTATTTCTGGATTGCTATCCTAATTACTCATGCGACTGTGATTATAGCTTGTGAATTCTTGCCGGTTCTTTGTGAGCACTGTAGCCTATGATCGAACCCAGTGGAGAAACAGGAAGGGAAATAATAGAGACGTGAGAAGGTGGAAATAAATTTAACCTCTGCCTTACGGCAACCCGTATTAAGCTGATTCTGGATCATGGCCTTGCCCTTACATTAATGAATCAGTGTATAAATAGTAATACGTACTTTGTGAAAAAAACACTATCAGATAAAGAATTGTTATTAAAGTATGAATTATCTTATTTACTCATGTAAAAGCATTTTCTAATAAGGGAAGCAATGCACTGAAATGCATTTCTTATAAAATTGAGAAAAAAAAATCAATGAAACAGAGTGGCTAAGAGTCTGGTAGGAAGGTCCTTGGTTCAAATCCAAACTCTGCCACTTAAATACTGGCCAGGAGTCCTTTGGTACATTGCTTAAGTTTCTCTGAATTTCAGTGGCCTTCTAAGTATAAAATAGCCACGTCAGCATTACCTACATAGAATTGTTCTGATGCTTGGATGCAATGATCTAAGAAAGTGCTTAATCCCACACTTAGCTTTCTTAATACAGAGTAAGGGCTCCTCAAGTGCCCACTGCAACGTGGCTGTTTAGAGAAAATAAATTCAAAATACCAATATCTTAGTGCCATTATTCTGAATATTACTCTCATGAAGTTGTAATAATAGCTTACAGACTTCCTTTTCCCATCTAAGTTTCTCCCGATTTCTATTAAAATGTTCCGGCTTTTATTTTTTCTTCTGGGAAGCTGTCATGACTATTTTCTAGGATAAATGCCCTTTGATTGAGGTTCTCTCACTTACCTCTGATACATCACCAGCAAAATCTCCGTAGAACAGGTCAATGGGAGAGTCAGATGCCTTGGGGTTGATGAGGAGTGCATCAAATTCCTTGCCCACGTCAAAGTTTCCAATCTCACTATCCAGCCCCAGAGCTACAGAAGGGCACAATGCAATGCACGGTCAGTATTTTGTTGTGCCAGACTGCAAACACCCCAGTTTTCAAGGTCAGAGCCAACCAGCCTAACACTAGAAAGAGAAAAACAGTGTCTTAACAGGGAAGGCAGGCAGGCTCTCTCATTCTAAAGGATAGACCATTTCTACTTACGAAAGCAGAGTAAGGATCAAAATAAAAACAAAACAAAAAACTCTCATGTCGTCGGGTTGATTCCAACTCTTCGCAGCCTTACAGGACACAGTAGAACTGCCCCTATGGTTCTCAAGGCTGTAAATATTTCACAAGAACAGACAGCCTCAACTGTCGACAGTAGAGCGACTAGTAGATTTGAACCGCCAACCTTGTGGTTAGCAGTCCAACACATAACACCTACTACACCACCTGAGCTTCTGTAAAGACAGGAAGAGAAAAATCTGAATATAAAACAGCTCCCTTCATTACTATGGTCCTAATTCTGGTGGTAGCGCTATGTCTACCCCTCATCTCCTAGCCACTCTAAGATTGAGTATCTTGTTGAGACACAGGATGATTAACTTGATACAAACCCCTTTTACTTTTCCCTCCTATTCTATCCTCAGTGCTCCAACTCCTTTCCCTGTTTTTTTGGCTAGTCTTGTTCTCTTTGTTCTTTGAAATCGCTTAGAAGATCTATTTTAATGGCAGTGAAATGAACCTCAAATAAATAATCATCTGCCTGCATATCTGGTAATGCAGAAAGATTCACTATCATTTTCTCAGTTTAAATCCTCGGGATAAAAATATAGTTCTACTTTTCAAAGTGAATAATCTTGTAATTTACTAATCCCACTTTGAAAACAGCCCAATTTGTTTGTAACCTTAAAGGTTTTCTGATCACCAGAGAAGAATTGTTTTCTAAAATAGGACATAGGTCAATAACACCTACCGATTCTGTCTCTCTCATAGCTAGAATTCATGTTCTATCAATATTGGATACTGGGTAAGAGCATCATTTATTTCTATGATTTAGTTTCAGAAAGTATAGGCCTTGGCTTTCCTGGTCAAAAGGAGGGCATTGAAGCCAATGTTCCTTAGGGAGGGTTGTCTAAATAAGGTGCTCGCTCAAGTGACATGTTGAAAGGACACATTCAAAGGAATGTCAACTGAGTGCAACATTATTTCAGTTTGCATGTGTTTGCTGTATTCTATCACTATCCAGAATATACATGCAAAAAATAATGGATTAATATATTCCCATTAGGCACCATCTGATACTTTATATTTTTGTGCACACATATCCAGACATCTTTTGCCAGTTCTTTGAGCACCAACTTAGAAATCCTCTTTATTTATAAAAGATTATTAAACAGTCTCTCTTATTTTCAGGGGTGGGGAGGAAGTGTTTTGTTTTTTAGCTGAAGGACTCTCCTAACAATAGAAGAGTGCAAAAATTATTAGAAATGATAAAAAAAGTCAGGTGCCTTCTACTAATTATGTGGGGAGGGACTGAATGTCATACAAAGACTTTCAAAAATGTTTGCCTTCTACTTTCCCAAAAGCAATACAGTAAGGAATTCTATTTTGTTGATATGAATATGATTACATGGGAGAACTCATAAAGCTGATGAATGATATTTGCATATCCACCAACTACATTTTTACATCTTTCTCCTTCTAAAGAGGCTTGGATAAGTAGTGCACTTTAGCATATACGCAAAAGGCCCTGTGTAGACAGGCATATTACACAGGAAGAAGTTTCCATGCAGAACAGCAGGCAAGAGCTTACAATCTGGTCTCGGGTCTTCCAGATCTGAATTGTGGTGCACTGTGGGTTGGCTGCCACGTAAGCCTTGGGCTCCTTGTTTGGAAGATGGAATTCATTCGTGGTTGTGAAGTTTTTAAAATGCAAATAAAGCAAGTTGCATAGTGCCCATTCCAGGTAAGCTTCCAGGAAGTGTCGGCTCTTGTTTGGACTATGATTATTCGTATCACGCAGACCAATAGAAAGCATGTTACTTTGCCCAATAGGAATACTGGTTATTTTCAAAGAACTTTTTGCACGTGACCAATATAAAAAGTTACCTCTCAAAATGATCAATCTGACAGCTCTGTAACAAACAGCTGAAGACAGAGAACTCGTTGAAAGAATGTCACCACTGCTTGCCTGTGCATTGACTTGATTTCTACATTTTGGATACGCTTTCTGAGATGCAACTGAACTCTACGACGCATGCGGAAATCACAGCATACGTCACGGTTTTCTACGCAGGGACAGGGAGCAACCTGATTGGACCAAGGTTGGGAGAGCAAATAGTCATTACCTTGACTTCCTCCAAGAGTAGCTAGTCTGAAGACTTCTTTGAGAGTGAGGCTTTTCTCATTTATCTTATTGATTGAAAGACTATTAGAAACCATCACTGCTCTTCTGATGGCATCCAGCATGGAAGCCGAGTAACCTCCGGCGACATCTGCGGTGAACGAGAGAAACCAGAACAGTAACCTTATAAAGGGAACAGTCGAGAGATCAGGTGCGTTTTGAAAAACACACCTACAAAAAAAAAAAAGATATTATCTTCAAACACACACCAACATTTAAAGGAATTAAAAACCTGTAATTAGTATCATACACAGACCTAGGTGCCTTTTGGAAGGCGGCAGCGACACATTCCAACAAAGTTGGAGGCTTAAGACCACAGAAATTTATTTTCTCAGAGTTCTGGAGCTATAAATCCAAATTTACTGAGGCTACCAAAGTTCAAATTTATACCCTTCCCCAAAGCTCCAGGGGCGGGGGTTGCTTCCTTGCCTCATCGAGCTTCTGGAGGCTCCTAGGGTGCCCTGATTAGTGGCAGTATCGTGCCGGCCCCTGCCTCCATCCTTACACGGCCATCTTCCTTGTGTGCTTCTGGGTGTCTCCCCTTTGGTGTCTTTTGTCAGGACACCCACCAATCGATCCATGCCTCACCCTAGTTCAGCATGATCTCATCTCAAGTTCCTTACTTGAAATACACACGCACACGCTTCCAGCCCTAATAAGGTCACTTTCTGAAGTTCTGGGTTGATACAGTTTCTGGAGGTCACAGTACAACCCACTACAATTCCCAAGAGGCTAAACAGAGCAAGAAAAATACACTCTTATCTCAGAACAGTCTCTTGTAGAACGCTCATGGAAATTGCACAAATAAGACTGCATAAAGATAATTTAGATAATGTAATAAATGACTTAAAATAAACTCATTGTTCCGTACATACAAAATCTATCCAACGCAATTAAAATTCAGATGAGAACTTATGGGAAATTAAAAATATGCCTCTTTATGGTAATTTTTCAAGAATAGCTTTTAGAATGAGTGTTTATCTTCTGGAAAATTAGTGTAATAAATGCTGATGTAGAGAGCTTTATATGTTGGTTGGCATCATTGCATGAGGAATGAGATTTTTGGTGATTTAAATCGCATGTCTAATCATAATTAAGTTGAAATACTACCACCTTTGGCAAGAACAATGTTGAAGTTATTAAATGAGTTTGTATAAATAAATGCTAAGTAAGTTAGCATGTCTTATTAGAAAACGTTTATCTATAGCTAATAAAATATACTCTGTATTTCGAAGTATCCTTCTATCTTTTCTAAGTAGACATTTATAATTGTTAGCACCCATATATACTGCAAAGATCAAATGCAAGTGCCTATCATAAGTAGTAATTCTAGGTTGCAGTTCAATTTTATGTTCAATCATCTCACATATCCTTGGATAAACTTGTATACATTTATTTTTGGTGGTGGGAGGGGGTTGTTTGCTTTTTTGAAGCCAGAGCACTGTTTATCAGATGATTAGCTAGTTCCCTGAGAAGTTTTATTTCCTCTACTTAAGCTTTCAGCCGTATGAACATACAGTTATTGTTGTTAGCTGCACTCAGGTTGTCCTTAGCTCACAGCAATACCACACACAATGAAAGAACCACTGCCATGTTAACAGCATGGTTGCTGATAAGATTGCTGTGATCCATAGAAAGTTTCAGTGGTTGATTTTCGGGAGATCACCAGGCTTTTCTTCCTAGTTCACCTTTATCTGAGATCCAGAGGCCTGTTCAGCATCATAGCAACACCGTTTCCAAGGGCAGAGGGTGGCTGCACATGAGGGGTCCTGGGCAGGGTGTGAACCTGGGTCTCTGAAATGGATCCACCACCGAATTATTCATTAAATCCTAAGTTTTAATATAACATCAAGCCAAGGGAAACAGATTATGTGCAATATGCTCAAACTATCCAGCCTGGTACATCCTTCTTTATTGCTTTAATAAATAAAATGTTAAGCCCACGAAGTATTATAATAATAATATCAATATGATAACATGTAAAAGTTAAATTTGTGTTTTCAGGGAAAGACTGGAAGGGGACAAAGAAAACAAAACAATGCAATTAGGATGGTATGATTACGCAAGATTAAAGTACTAGCATTTATGAAAAATTATAGAAAGTATTTCCCTCAATGGTTAATAAAAATAACCCTATATAAAGACTAAGGAGAAATTAGGAAGCAACTACCTGCAACTCTTAAACTATTTTGAGATATGCCTTATTATGCTGTTGATTTAATCATGCTAGCTTCTGGTGGCTTAATGGGTGGACCTCTAAGAACAAGGTCAGCAGTTCAAAACCAACTGGTCATTCCAAGGGAGAAAGATGAGGCTTTCTACTCCAACAAACATTTACAGTCTCGGGAACTCGAGGGGCAATTCAAGAGCATCCTATAGGGCTAACCTACAGGGTCATTATAAGTCAGAATCGACTTGGTGGTGTGAGTTGGGGTTTTTGTTTTTTTGGCTTCTTCTAATTGCCAATTTTATATGAGGAGACAAACGCCAAGGAAACAACAGTGTGCTGGTCAAATAAAGAACCCTGGGTCTCACACACTGAGAAGTTTAGTTAGTCAGGAGGAATTGTTTGAGCTCCTCTGGTGGCCTGCCGCCTCACAGGCATGTGAAATTGGCTACTGAATAAGAAAGACTAAAGAAGAATTCATACATTTGCTTCGTGATGCTGGCCAGGAATACTGAAAAGACCATCGACTGTCAAAAGAACAAACAACTCGATCTTGGAAGTAGTCAGCCAGAATGCTCCTAGAGATAAGGATGCCAGACATTATCTCAGGTGCTTTGGATAAATCAGACCTCAGGGAAGGGCAACACGCTCGGCCAAGGACAAGGGTCAACAAAAAAGAGGAAGACCCTCAGCGCGATGGATGGACACTGTGGCTGCAAGAGTGGGCTCACACATACCAGACTGGTGAGGCTGGCATCGAAGCAGGCAGGGTTCTGTTCTTGGTGCATACAATTTCTATGAGTTGGACCTAACTCAAGGGCATCTAACAACAACGTTTGCATGGCAGTCAAGCTTTCTTATAGGGGCTCCATTGTGACAGTAACTGCCTGATCCCTGTGTGTGTGAGTCTCGGTCCTTTAGAGAAACAAATCCACAGAAACTCATGTATAAGAGAGAGTTTTAGATAAAGGTTAAGGGCACATCCAAAAAAAAAAAAAAATCCCAACCGAGTGCTGCCCAATCCCACAAGCCCAACATTAACCCATATGTCTGACACCAAAGTCCTCCTCCATCTCACAAAACACACACTATGCCGCCGACTGCAGGAGGAAAGCTGAATCGGTGAATGTGTAAGCATCTTGGCACTGGCAGGGGTCTCCACGTGGCTGCTCCAGCACCCAGGGCTGCATCGGGGTAGGTCCATGCGGCTTCTCCTTGGGGATGCTTTGCAGGAAGGGAGCCTTACCAGTCGAAGCAGGGAACTGGCTAAGCAGCTGCACCCTGGTCTGACCATCAGAAAGCAAGGCACCCGAGGCTCACCAAGCCATTTATCCCTCCACCCTTCAATTAACCCCGCATGTGTTTATCGGCCAGGTTGGCACAATAAACTACCTCACTGTGGTACTGGGCAAGGCTTTCTCCATAATGAGGCAGAATTCTTGAGTACTTTATTCCTGGGAAGACTTCATGTGCCACATACCAAAAGGAGCCTGGTGCCACAGTGGTTAAGTACTTGGTGGTTAACAGAAAGTTAGCTTCAACCCACCAGCCACTGCATGGGAAAAAGATGTAGCTGACAGGTCGCTAGATTAGGGAGCAAGGGAGGGGGGTTGTCTCCACCGAATGCCTGTGCTACGTGAAAATTAGCCACATACAGAGATTAGAAAAAAATCAGGCACACGAATTAGACACCTATGGGAAAATCCAGAACTGAGCATGCTCAGACCCAAGTCACCTAGGCCCAGGTGGGAGGTACACTTCAGTCTAGGCACCAGCGACATGACATCACACAGGTGTGCCTAGAGACTCAGTCAATAAGTCGGCCAATATCCTCAGCCATGCGTCCCCAGCCAGGAGGGAGAAAAGCCGGCTGTGGGCAGGCCACCGGCCCATCTCTTGCCTTGTGCAGGTGCACACTGAAAGTGGAGGTTGAGATTCCTTCAGAATGCACCCAGGGCCTGTTTTTGGCCCCCGGATATTTCCGGCTCCTGTTCCACATGTGTGGTTTTGTGCTCCTGTTCGGATAGTCTTTCCATGTGGGTTTTCCCGCTCTTCTGAAGTGGCCATCTTCAGCCACGAGCTCCCGAGCCGCCCCCATACAAACTTGTATGCTTTCCAGAAATCGTGTGTACTTTTTGAGCCTGTCATACCTGAAACTTTCCATTCCCTCAAAAAGCCACTTGGACTGACAAAAAAGTGCTTCTGCCGCGTGCGTTCTTTCAGTGTTGTGAAGCAAGAACTGAGGTAAACCACGCCAGAAACCTAATACAGCCATTTGCTTCTGTAAGGATTACAGCCTTGGGAATTCTGGGGCATTTCTCCTGTCCTCCAAGGTCACTGTGAGTAGAAACCAACTTGGCAGTCATGGGTTCAAGGTTGTTGTTGTTGTTGTTTAAGAGACTATGAACATTAGAAAGAGAAATCATGACGTTTCAAATTGTATAGGCCTTTTTAAACTATGGAACTGGAAGTTTCTTGCTTTGTTGGCCATTGCCCGGTCATTGAATGTCTGGGAACCTCAATTGCCTCGTGAAGTAGAGAATCAAACACAACAATACACATGCTGGGATAGGAGGGTTAAAAGGCAAGGCTGTCATGGAGAGGAAGAGAAAGGAAAGACTGAGCAGCAGGAAAGGGACTCGGGAGAATGGCGTGTCGTGAATCTAAGATAACACTTTTTACAAAAGCAGGAGCAGGCAAGCATGATACAGGCCGTGCGACAGAGTACTGTAACACCGACCGTGGCAGACAGAGTTAGGTGAAAATGTACCAACTATCTTATCATTTAATTTCCTTTAGGACACATTTTAACGTTCTTTCCCTCTGCAATATTTGAGTGAGGTTTTTCTCTGCTTTGTCTCATCATTGTTGTTGGTTGTCATTGTTGTTCATTTCCTGCTGTGTCTTGCATGATTTTCGGTATA